TAATATATACATTCTGCGGTCGATACAAAAAGAAATAGAGGCAATTACTTTTACAGAGATAAAGCTTGCTATAAAGTATAAATCATTTTGTTTTATCAATTAAATAGTTACCATGTGACAAGTAGTGCTTGTGATAAGTAGTGACGTTTTTTTACATAACAGTATCCTATTAATTTCATAATTTTTAACAGTAGGATAAGTTATAGTTAAAAAATTCGTTGTTGTTTGATCGTTTCATTGAAATAAAACGGTCGAATTTGAAAGAGTAATATCTTCTTTTCGAGCATAGGGTACAATTCTATGTTTACATAATCAGAGGGTAACGTTAAACCTGCTCTGGCATTTTCTTAGTGAACCGTATTCGGTAAAATTGCATTCGGGTAAAAGTTTTACCAAAAACGTACGCATTTCAAAATAGAAGAAATAAAACAAGTTATTTTTATTTTGCCCTTGTATAAAAATTGTTTTGCGAAACAAATATCTCCTTAACTTTAGTATAATATTTACTTGATAAAAACTTGGTCTTTTGGTAAATTTGCTTTTATTATGCATTTTAGGAGAGTATAATCTTTCCTTCGATCGATTTGGGTGATGAATTGGAGAAAATAAGAGCAGTTTGAAACACGTTCTCTCGTATTCTTACATACTTTGTTGCATTTTGTTATTTGTTCAGATTAAAGTGAGATCTAAGCGGGATTCCAAATTACTAGAAATTTACAACAAATTCGACTTGTTTTGTACATAGAAAATCTCCTTGGACGATACTATAGAATAAACAATTTATCGAAATACGCATAGCCAGTCTGTAATATAAATAAAGAAAATTGTGCGCAGCAGTATCTATATGTGTTTTTACATGGATTAAGTTTACTATTACTTCATATTCATTTCTAGTTTTAGATTTATACGTGAGTATCTCTAACACAAACAGAATTCACAGTTTACAGCACCTGGATTACCATTGTGTCAGTAACGCACGATAATCTTATCAAAGTTTATCTCCCTACTGCTAAGTATTCTCACGTTTCACATCGGTCGTGCAGGTTTTGATCTGATACATATCAACGAAAAACTAGAAAAGGTAACGCTCGATTGATTATTCAAATTTGTTGTATTGTTCAAAGTTTTGGATTTCGTCGCACTGTAGGTACAAAGTATATTTTTTCTTTGTATCATTGAATGTGTCATACTATTTGTATGTGCGTACACGTATATGTATATGCATACAACAAGTAAAAAATGACACTTTCGATTCGTCAATTGTGTATATGTATGTAAAGGGGAATTAGCAAAACGAAAATAATCTGTTCATTTTCCGGTTTGTCACGTTCGAACGAATATCATTTGACGCTTGTTAGAACTGTATTGTGAAACGTGAATATTTATTGAAAAAATATGAGGCAAGCCATTCCTACTGTGTAAATATTTAATCTCTACGATCCTTGGCGTTCGTAGATATTGCATCGATGAGTATTAACGAAAATCCGCGGCTTATTTGAGCAAGAAGAACACGCAAGCAGTATTGACGGATGCACAGACGAGACCCTGTGTGCCAAGGTTTCTCTAGAATTAACGGGAAAATAATACTTTAGGAAAAAAAGTATACACTTGAGACATGTCTGAAAATCGTTTGAAAAACGTTAGCGATTAGGAAGAGGTACTTTCTCTTCGAGATACGATTTATTATAACGGTAAGCAATTATATTATTAGATCATTTTCTTCGTTATGAGGCGCATAGTTCCATCATACATTGATGGAATAAATTGATAGAGATGGATGTGCCAATGTATAATTATATTTAATTCTTGATTGTTATTGTACGATTGTTTTCATACGATCCTTACTCAAAAGGCACGCGCACTGGAAATATTTAAAGCTGGCTGATCGTTCATTTTAACCCGGTCTGGTTTAGTTTACGTGGTACGTAGAGATACCTGTTTCTTGTTAAACTAACATTAACGCGATTCGTAATTGAACGGTTTGCTGTTGTGGAAAAGAATCGATTACCGTCGAACATATTCTCGGCTCATCTAGCAATTCGATTTCCATACTCTATACGTATATCGAAAAATGTTGATATACACGGTCGGTGAATCGTTATCACAAAAATAGTATCTCGTGAGAACAGTAGCTATTGAAAATATTTATCTGATCGAAACTGACCATTTGTTACAACACGGTGTGTAACGAGGCTGTGGAGCATTTTTCACGGTACGTGTTCCTTCATACAGGGTGTTTTGAAAAAACGGTTCTGGATCTGCAAACCAAAAATAATAAATTAATAAAAATTTAATTGAATGATATTCGCCAAACGAAGGAATAAAGTTCTGCTAAACATGCAAAACATCCAAATTAATATTTCCCGAATTATGAACAATTTTCCGTTTATAACGAAAAATTCACACTATTGTGCGAAGGAAAAAACGATGACACTTAAAAGGGCAAGCTCTTTTTCAATTCGTGTTTAGATTTAAATCGGCAATGAGACATCGAAGGGACTGTGAGATATAAAATGATTTAGAATTTGATCGTTTCGAATTTCGTATTCGTTCTCAGGTGGAATTTTCTTCTCGTAAAAGGGAACGAAAGCGATGAAAGAGTGGCGAGCAGAGTTTATACTCTGTCTGCTCTACGTTTCATCCGCGATCTTCTCCGTGACATCGTTAATTAGCCTGGTAACCGTTTGGCAATATTGGGCATGGACACTGGACGTTTGCATCAGCATCGACTGCGATTGTATACTATACGGCATTAACACCTTTAGCACTTTTATGGGAGGAGATGCGAAACTCTGCCACTTTGGTGTTTACGGCTTGGTTCCTATAATTTTGATCGGTTTATGTCTCGGTGGATATCATGGATATAGATGCTGTATTAATAGAAATTTGGACGAGCCTGTACGAATCTACGATGACACCAGGAGGTAAGCATATCATAGGAATGTTAGTGCATTGCCTCTCAGGAATCTGTAGATACCAGATTGTACTTGGCCAGGAGAGCGCGCACCGAGTGGCCGTGGAAATCGCTTCACGATTCTCTTTTCCGCAGAAGCTTGAACAATGTTCAAACAACAGTGGTCGTCAGGCCTAAAAGAAGAACTCCGTATAAACAATGGATACCCGCTGTATTTCTCGCAATTTTATTGTGTTGCTTGTCATTAGCGCACGCAGTTGTAATGACGGACGGTTACTATAAAACCTGCGACCAGTATAGAAGAAGACTTATACAACTCCTGAGCTCCACGGGTCGCGAGGCTGAGGTCGGCTATTCTGAAAAACTCTCCTCGTCAGATATACATACATATACCAATTATGTATGTACCGTGCATTGCTAACAAGTTGCCAACTTGTTAGCAACGCACAATACTTGCGTGTCATTCGTGCTAAATATCGTCCTCTTTCACAGGTGATACATCACAGACTTTCGTGCGGGGCGATCTTGGACTTTATGGATTATTTACAACCAGATACAACCGATTGGCAACGCGACAGACAAATTGATACCGGTTTCGCTCTACGATTGGCAATAATATCCACGTGGTTAAATGTCTGTACTTGGGTATTCGCGTTTCTTTTAAATGGTACTATGGCGCGTAAGAGACTCTGTTGTCGTAAATGAAACGCGACACAGTCCCTTTTATAAGTTGATCGAAATTAGGATTGGATTCGTTCGAATAATGTTTGCCGAATACCTGAATTATCGAGTTGTTCGATTATTTGAATACACAAAAGTTTCATAAATATTACAACGATAAAGAAAGCTCTCGACCCTGTAAGGAATTATGACTCGTATTTGGTCAGAAAACGTGTTAGCCAATAAAACCATTGGTAGTTGCTTCGAATAACGAACAACATACAGTTACACACGAGCGCGCGTACGCGCATATATTTTTCTTATTTACTTAAACTAAATGCGTAATGGTCATACAATTATCGTATATAGATACAATTTTAGTTTTAGTGCTCTACACACTTTATACACAGATAAGATCACTCGTCCCTATATCTCTTCTTTTTGTACACTAGCGTAGTTGTCTTATTTTCTCACAATCGATAATACCAGTAACGCAGCTTTATTATACGTATACATATGTATGTGTACTGCGCGTACATAATGTTTTACTAGAATATCATCACAAAGCATCACATTTTTACAACTTTTTATCCGTCTCTTGTTTTTCTCTTACCAACTCGTGTGAAATGACAAGGAAAAAGAAAGAAATGCGACGAATGCCATCTCACAATTTATCACGTACGCACACACAGCACAGATATGCAATCATTGCAAATGTTGAAACAGCCAAGGCAGAGAAATTCGACACGTAGCAAGTCTTTCGAAATGCCTTTAATGAGAATTGTTTGGCAACAATTTTCTTTCTCTGCGTCAACTTTTGTAGAGGGTAAGAATTCTCTCTACGAGTTTTAGCACAAGATAGTGCCGCTTCACCGAACACCATCAAATAAATACTGTAACTGGTCTGGTGTCAAGGGCAGTGGACAAAAATTTAAGTAAAACTCAAAATGCGTTTTTCTTTACATTTCCCTGTACCAAGGTTAACACATAATAATATATACATAAACATAATAACGAGCAAGCAATGCGGAATGTGTAATGTTATTATACTATCGGCAATACGTGTATCACTGAACATTGTCGAAGAGAATGCCCTGGATGGAATTCAGATTCATCGATTGGAATTGTTTAAAAAAATTATTTCGCTATCGACTGGATTTCGAATCGTGTAAACTAACGACTAAAAAGATGGATTTCTCTCGCATCGTGAACATCATTCACGGGCATTCTTTATAGCTGCTTGCAGTATGTACCTTTTTTACGACGTATAAATAAACCCTCCCGAAGCACCAATCTTTTACCCTACCAATACTGCACAAACATACTCCCAGAACGAATACGCGATGTTCCAACGAATCTGATCAAGTTCGATCCAACTACCTACTTTACAAGCACATTCTTTTCATGGTTTCATGGCTTCCCTTTCAATAAAGTTTATAAGATCGAAGCTTATCGTTCGTGCGCTTAACTTGAATAGCTACGTATAGGAACTGAAATTCCAACATAAACTTTACCTTAGTAACTCTTACGCTTAATACAATTGACTTCGTTTCTATGCAAACATCCCATTGTTTCTATTCTACACAACAGCAGAGAGTACAAACTTTAAACGCTACTTAACAAAGAAAGAAAGGCACCTAATCGTGTATGTATTACATTACCTAGTATCTACATTTCCATTAGATAAATACGCATTTACCAGCGTACATGCATGAATTTGTACGCGTACGCGAATACATGGGAATATACCGATTATTACACAAATACTTTTCTCGTATTGTCTAAAGTGTTCTGATCTGTCTCTCTTTATCGATAAACTATACAAGGTGATTTTAGGAACTGGGAAGAAGACTTTTGTCAGAGTGGCTTAACCGGATCCACTATACTATTTCTGCGAGATTAGAGTATCGTTTCTCAGATTATAGAGTGAACAGTGGTGGGTGAACTCTGACAACCCGACAAGTAATATTGCCTTTACCCTTTTTGCTCTCGATAAGAAATTAGAAGAGCAGAAGGGAGGGAGGCGAGCGATCCTCGTTAAACCATTCTACGGTTTTCTGTATCAACTTTTACCCCTTCTGCTTATAGAAAGCAACTATGTATAGTCCAGTTTTTAAAAACATCGTGTACTTTCACTCTCGATGTATCTTTTTAATCTGTTAAACACGCATCACGAATAAACGTAAGTTATTTGAAATTTTGAAATTCGGTAATCATGGATTACGCGTAGGCACATCTGCAAACTTGAACTGGTCGCGTGTGTACGGTAGTAGTAACTACCCTTTAAATACGAATCCTACGTACATACGTATTATAATATTCGTTTCGTAGACACGTACGATTGTCAGGGATATCGACGTTTAGTGGTTCTTTCCAGCGAACGAGCGATTGGTAAATAAGTTGAAAAAAGATTTCTCGTGTCGCGAATCGTGTACAACTTGTTTCTATAGTAGAATAAAGTTAAACATTTCAAGAGTTTCTTCGATGGTACGTATTAATTGCGCCGCGTCGTTTCGATGTTTCAAAAGACGTAGATACGATCAGTCACAAAATTACTGGCACAAACAGCAATTTACTAGAAATATGCAAAATAAAAAGGCGATAAAACAACAGTGGTTCTATGAAAAAGTAATGATTTAAATCTAGTTTAGATTTAGAAAATCTAAATTAAAATTAAATTTTGTAATTTATGTGTTGGAAAATTAAAACATGCACGGGATTATCGCCATAGTGTTTAGGTGTGTGGCGGGGCGGCGTTCCTTCGGAGTCTAGTGACGTCGAGAGAATCTCACCCGGATCAACAACATTCTATAATTTTATTTATTTCTTACCAAACAAACATTTACATCCTTTTATTGTCTTTTTATTCTGCATGCGCAAATAATTTTGTGGTCTGCGGTACCTTGTAACCGTGTCGGAATTATTATAGTCGCAGAATACATATTTCTGTTTCGTAAGAATGGTTCCTTGGAAAAGTTTGGGCATGAGCAATACGAGTATACACACACGATATGGAAAATTCGATCGTGTACGTCTCTTGTTAGCTATTAATTTACTTTCTTAGAAATACTGTCTCATTTGTAAGAACTGCTAGATCGTAGTAGTAGTAATCTAGAAATTTCAAAGTACAAACGTAGCGTAGAAAATGCCTGGTTGCAAAAATAGATGCTCGAGCTGTCTTTATATGCGCTCTTTCTCTACTATTTTCCTTTCGTATTTTTCAACTTGGATTCGTTCGCTGAAAAAACATTCTGACAAAACCGACATTCGATTTAGTTTATTATTCGAATTGTCGAATTTCTACGCGCTAGTTGCACGAATCGGTATCTCCTGACCGACGCGAGTTACATTTTTTACAAGTTTCATTTGTAATTTCTTTAACCAGACAGATTCTGGCAGTTTCTGGTACAAATACATACTTTTGTTCCGTATAAACTTACATGCGAGTATGCGCAAACACTAAATGTTTTAAATAAAGGAATGAAAGAAACAAGCGACAATGGTCGCAGGACTTTTACGAGGAAACGAATAAATTTCTTCGATTATACGTATTATGTTTCACGAGTAAACTATTATTATTGGACAAAAATCGCGTATCAATTTTCTATGTATTTGTATAAGATATTAAATGGACGTCGTGCATGCAACGCATGCCATCGCTCAACTTTATGTACTGTGCACGAAAGAGAAACAAGTGTTACGGGACGACACAGAGGCAAGGGGGATTTTCTGCGTTCGGTCGCTAATATGAAACTAAAAATACATTGTATGTATGTATACATACTATGTATATGAAACTTTTCCCAGTAGGCATTCCTATTTTTATTATAATCGATGAAACCCACCCGCATTCCTTCCGTATCACTTGTGCACTTGTTCGTGCACAGTACCTACATTATCGTAAATTCTAGCCTTCGTCGATACCAATATGGTTAGGTCTGTGTTAATATACATATGTATACTATCTGACTAATCGATCCACAAACTCTTTCCTCGATAACCGAACTAGTGTTACCCAAATAACTTTTCCGCCTTAAATTTCATCTTGTGATAAAAATTTCAGATTATTCGCTGGTCTTCTTGGTGAAAATTCATCCAAACGCGAGAGCTTGGTCCTAGGCAATACTGTATTTTAATGTTTGCTTCTTCCGTCTCTGGTTTTTGTCACGGTCCTAATGGCAAAAAAAATATTTTACTTACTCTTCCGAATACTTGAGAAAAATCTAATTTACAATACTTCGGAGAGAACATCTTGGTTCGAAATACAAAACTCGCTTCTCTTCGTAACCTTGCCCGGTCAGTTAACGAGGAAACACTGTGTACAGTGTATGTATACTTTACTCGAATATTAATTTTCAAACGATTCGATTGTTTTTATTAGTTGGTAGACCGGTGACGAGCTAAAACTATCGACGTACTTTGGACATTTCTGTAGAGGGAATCTGAGGGAGTCTGCCGTAAAGCGTGAAATCATGTAAATTTCTTCATACCCGTATAGGTATTCTTGGTGAAGTTTCTCTTTGTACCGTCTTCGTCTCAAATGAATGGATTGCTTCTTCTCTTGAGCGATCCGAAACGTTTCTCGGGTTCCCTGACCACTTCGAACGGTGCGATTCTCTGTGGCGTTGTGATTTGTTTCTCCTCGTTTTCGTCGCTCGGGAAATCCTCGAAACTCATGTTGCTGAAGCCAGCCGCAGCAATGATGGAGCACTTCTTTGTCTTGGGTGACTTTTTCAGACAGACCGACTTGCCCTTGTGAGGCAACAGGCTCGACGGTAAAACGTTGACAACGTCACCGTGGTTTTCATCGATCAGATGATACTTGGACCTTTCCGATTTAAATTTCTCTTTCTTGTGTTGTCTCGGTGTATCGTCTCCGACGAGCGGTTCCGGCGACATCGGCGAGACAATGTCGGGTGTAATGTCCGGTTTCGATACGCTGTTGATAGTCTGTACGGTAATACGAGCAGTGTGTTGCACCGTTTGGATCGAGTATGTGGTGTCCTGCGCGATGGACGTCGATCGAGCGGTGTTGGACGACTTGTCTGACAATATTGCGTTCAGAGTCTCGTCGACGAAACTTGGCATCGGCATCGGCATCGGCATCGGCATCGGCATCGGCATCGGCATCGGCAACGGTGGCTGGGAGTACGGTCTTTGGGCAGAACCGGATCTCTGCTGTTCGTTGGTTCGCAATGGTGCGAATTCATCGAAGGGAATGGAACCGAAAATATCCTTGGAGGCCTTCAAGCCGGCGAAACGATCGCAGTCGTCCGCTGCTACTACGTTACTGAAATTTGAATTCGCGGCCGGGACCGATTGCGTCAAATGACGAACGCTGTTCGTATACAGCGGTCCAGATTCCTCCTCCGTAACATAATTCGAAACGATGCGATTGGCGAAAGGATTCGCAAAACCGCTTGGACTGAACGGCGACGAGCCGAACAAATCCTTTACGTTGGTCTCTTCGTCCAGTTGTTCGCGTTTCTCCCCGTCTTTTCGTTCGTTCGTCTCGTTTATCTTCTTTCCAGCGGCGGTTAGCTCGATACTCGAGGAGATTGCTCGAAACGGAAGTGGTTGTTGTTGTTGTTGTTGTTGTTGTTGTTGTTGTTGTTGTTGTTGTTGCTGCTGCTGCTGCTGCGTTTCTATCGATGAAAAGCTCGCGTCCTCGTAACTCTCGTTGCTCCCGACTCGCGGCAAATCGTACTTTGCTACAGTTTTTCCATCCGTATCCGCGTCGGACGTAGAACCGAAAATTGGGATAGGCGGTTGCAACGGAGTGTTCGGCTCGACTTGCTCGTTGTTGTTCTTCTTCTTCGTGTCCTTATCCAGATCGTCGACGCTTCTTCTCCAACTGCCGAATCGTGGGAACGGTGCCAACGCAAAAACATCTTTCTCGAGTTTCTTTAACCGATTAGTTGACAGATCGTCTTCGTCCGACGTCTCCGAGCTGCCGGCGTCCTCGATCTGCACAGGCTTCGTACAATACTGCTGCTGGCTGGCAAACGGATTGCCGTACAATCCTGTCGGTCTTGATTCAGGATCCAGTTCGTCGTCCAATAGCAAAGGCTTCTCTCCGTACTCGTGGCCAACGACCGGATCCACCTCGACGCGCGACAATGGTTGCGTTCGATAATGCCTCTTGGATCTTCTGTAATCCTCCTCACCGTGAACAGTGACATTCTCTAAAACATTTTCATCCATTCTCACGCAATTCTTGCGAGCTTCGTCCTCGTTCTCGTCCTCGTTCTCGTCCTCGTTCTCGTCCTCGTCCTCGTCGGTACATTCGTCCTCCTCGTCGTCTTCCTGTTCTTGGTTGCTATCGACCGTATAGCCGTTCGCGCGAACATTACCACCGTTATCATTACATTCCTCGTCGTCGTTGATTCTCAAATCGCTGGCTGAGCCTATCGAGTCGTTGGATTCGTCGTCGTTATCCGCCGGAGTAGTTTTTATAGCACCCTGCGTAACTTTCCTCTTCCTGCGAAGCCCGCTCTTACCCCGTCTTCTCTGTTGCTTGATTCGTTCCCGAGTTACGTCTTTGTCGCTGTCACTGGATGCATCGCCGGCGTTGAAAGGCAATTTTTCATATTTCGATCGGTTCTCCATGGGAGCGCGAACAAATGGCGGAGATACGGGACTGTTTTCCGTCGAGAGAGTCGTTTTCTCGTCCAACTCGATGCGCTCGATCCCTGGTTTCCATTGCTTCAAAGGTATTCTTGGTCTACCGTTCGTTGGTTTGCCTGAAACACACATAACGTGATTGAAAAAAAAAAAATTAACGTCTATATTGCTTGGTACACGGACAATCGACAGAATGATAATAGCGGTCGACACAATCGTAATTAAAAAAATATTTATTCCATCTGATCTTGAATCCTCTTTGGTGAATAAGCATTAATGTAAAAAGTATAGTATATCGTTGTTTTATATATGGTACACGATCTGGTGTATCTTTCTACTCCGAAAGTGAAAGAATTTTGATTTCTTCTTGCACTGTAATAGACTATCATGTTCTTCGAATTAGCATTTATTTACTGGAGAAACCAAGGCCAGTGTTAAAATGTTTCATAAATATTATACTAACATGATATATCATTCCGTTCGTACAACAACCCGCAACAACGTGTTGTAATTTCGTTTAAATAGAAAGTTCAAATTACTGTTTGTGAATGAAAAAGCCAACGTGAATAAGAAATTAGCGTAAACGTGTTATTATTTATAATGAACATTTTCATTTTTAGGCTACATTAATGCAATTTAACGTTTAATACATTTGTTGTATAAGTTTCTTTATACATATTTTACTTGCCTGGTAATCGTCGCATTTAAAGACATTGAAACTCACCGTACTTACCTAGGAGAAACGCGACGGTATACCTTAAAGCAATAGTTACCTAACTCGAGAACCGTGCATCTTGAGCGATCGAGTGGCACAATTTCGTCAAGTAAAAAAATTTATTTCGACCCGTTCATTGTATCTACCGGTAACGAACTCTACGTTTCAGCGTAATAATGTATCTAAAGAGACGATCTCACGCAGCATGTCGTTGAACCTTTTGCAAAAAAAAAAAAAAGAATCCATAAAAATCCGAATTACAAAATTTCATTCTTCTTTTTAATTTTAAACGATTCCGAGAACAAAATCTAGTAGATATTTAATTCAAGTATATGTCTGTAGTTTTTAGTTAATAGATAAATATTTGATACAATTCCATATACGGCTTCAAAGAAAATTTTTGCTAAAACCATATTTTCCAGTTCGTCACTCTATCGTAACCCCTCGATACTATGGTAAAGTTATGCGCTCGTACGGTTTTAAAGCAATTTAACTATACAATAAATTAGGATAAACAGGAGATTAGGTCTGATTAGGTCTGCTACAGACGGTGCATTACGCTGTTAGAATTGTGCGTGTTCAGAGTTCTATCACTTTGCGACTATCGTGCTAGAGGCTCGCATTACAAAACAAATTATTAACCGATTTTCTCCCATCTTCTTCCCCACCCAGTTTGATTTGCTCCGAGACAATGTTAGTACCACCACCAATTATCACACCATCACCGTAAGGTCTGGAACAGTCCTAATCAGATTCAGGGGTTCAAGGATGATATGCAAGAAAACGCAGTAATGTCGTAGTAAAACGATTCAATGTATAATTTGGTTTTGCACGCGTGGTACAAAAGAAACGACAGTACGATTTATTATTTCCTAATCAAACATCGAATCGTTTGACGGACGAAAGGATTGCTGCGTTTTGTACCATTTCGTAGAAAAAGAATACTCCATATGCCATATGCTAACGTACACGTTTATTGCTGTAACATTATTATCTTAATACAGCGAGAAAGGTCATGTTCAAGATTGTCGGCCTCCTATTAGTGCTTTACGATTCGTACAGACCGTTCGTACAGACCGTTCGTTCGATATTCGTTCGATATTCGCGATTAGAAATGCACGCCGTGGTTCGTTGTACGTTGCATCGTGCTTAAAAGAAAATTACCGTGACAATTACGAATCGATTCGTCATCGTGACATCTTTAAAGTGACGCCCGACAAGTACAAGTCTTTACAAGGTAGTAGAACAGCACAATGGGAGGCAAACGACACGGGACATGAATTATTGAAAGCCCCTTTTCTTCAACAGACGACAAACAGAACGTTTGAGAAACGAACGAACAAAATCAATCGCGCCTCCTAAACTCATTAGGTTGTTCCAGACAGTGAGGAATAAATATGAAATTTTCCACGTAAACGTCCACGCCGTGAAAATAAAACGTGCTAAAAAAAAAATATATATATTTCCATCCTTATCAAAGATCCCACAACTCTAACGAGAACCAAACTGCACGCTTTACGCGTAATATACATATGTATATTAGGGTGGCCCAGAAAATATTACACAATTTAGTTAAAACTGTTAAGAATGATTTCGTACAACTGTACAGAATAAAATTCTCGATTTGCTTCGCATATACTGATAAGTTAAGCTAGTTAAGAGAATGAAGCGGGACGCTGCGTGTTATAGCACAGTTACTAAATATCGACAGTCAGAGATACAAGAAAAAGTACAAGTATGATAGAAATGTATGCGTGCGCGCGCGTGTGATGTTTGCACAGGCCACAAAAAGGAAGAAATAAAGAGAGAACCGGACATAGTTACAATGACAGGCAAAAGAAAAGAACAGGAACACCATTACAGAAAATAAAAATAGAACGAAAAATACATAAGACAGCTGAGGAGCAGAAAGCGCAAAAGTGTGCTCGAGCGCGTATGTGAATACCGTCGATACAATATTACTACAAGTATGTACGTATAATACACGCACGCAACAATCTTACTTTGCGGGATTATATTTAATCTATACAAACAAACATTGAATGCATGTTCGCAACGCGAAGCAAACATACGTGATTCCATACGTAAATAGTTGTATCCAACATTTTACTTATTTATATACATATTTTTTGCGTAATCTGTTCATTGCCCAAATTCAAATACAAGTGACAAATTAATCACGTGCCACGTAAAAAGTACGGCGTATCTCGTCCAAAAGCGAGTTCGATTTCGTAACTATTTCTTCAAATCTTTATCTATCCGTAATGTGGATATTTTATTTCAAAATTTAATAGCACGTAACAATCCATTGGGCTAGGTTCTAGAACAACAAACTGGCGAATTGTTCGTCGATACATGGGCCGGAAAAAAAAAGAAAAAAAGAGAGAGAAAAAAAGAAAGAAAGAAAGAAAATACCAAGGGTTTAGAGTTACTCCCTTTCGTTCGGCTACGCTTAATTTACAAACTGTGGCACAAACTGTCATAAATGTCTCGTTCGTTATCTGATTTTGCCAAAACGTCATCTCCCAAGTGAAAAGCTCGTATCCTCTGGTTTATACATATGTATGCAGGCATACACGCAACATGTAATAAACATACGATGCATTGTTTAAGTAAAATGAGGCCTCGATAATAGGGTGATGGCACACGATACACGCAAGGCATTGATTTACTCAAACAACAGGACACTGAATCGCGTATGTACAATGTACTACACGACAGTCTTGGCACGTTTTACACGTATCTATGTATGTAGTCGCGTATCACGGGGTGAATCACCCAACGTTAGGTCCATCGTCGTCGTTGTTTCCGACGATACCAGTAAGTGCTCGAGAAAGAAAACATTTGATTCCAAAGTTTCGAGACAAATCTAACAATTTCCAACATCTCGAAATGTTACCGAATTAACAAAAAAACATTGCACTACAGACGGTATCGAGTATTTGTTTATTACGCGGATCGTATCCCCCCAACCGACGATCTCCCATTTTTATGAAATTTCACGCATAAACAGAATGTTGAAAAATATGTTGGACAAGTGACGACTACCTGTGAATGAAATTTCTTCATAACTAATGAACATGAATGTTAAATACCAAGTCCACCAAAAAATGAACTTTTCTATATACATACAAGTTTTCTTTCTACCTCTATTAAAATATCGAAAATTATAAATTCGAGAAGAGATGATTTATCTCATACTATTTCCTCCTTCGAACGAAACATTTCTTTCCTTGGATACTTGCTCGTATCACCAACAAACAACGAAAATATTCGATTCTAACTTCAAGAGACTTACTCTTATATGGTTCTTTCGTAGAAAGAAAAAAACAAACATATAAAAATAGTTACCTACCATTTACCATTCGGTAAAGCATAAAATATTTTAATATACCGTATATGTGCTTCGTTTCAAATTAACTTTCGAGTAAAGTACGACTCATCCATCGTTCGTAATTGAGTGTGACTATAACTACCGAGAGCCAAGTTATTAATGCGTTACAGACATGCACGGGTTCACATTTCCAAGATCTGTTACCCGACAGTGACAGTTATTCGAACGGGGTAGCGTATTTCTTGTACAACTGAACTCGAACATTACTTGACGAAGAAAGAGAATGGTCGTAACATGAGCATAACAGGTACATTACTACTGTACAGTGTAACGCATCATTTTTCAAACAATTTACCACCAACAAAAACTGTTTCTAATTTAGAGTACTTCGACATCGACGATACTATTCACAGACACAGTTTACTAAACTTTCCTTGACTCGCGAGATCCTTGACATCGTCCTAGAAATGTACACGCACAAGAAACGCCACTCGATACACTCGAAACGTACCATTTAACAAAAATACGTATAATATAATAAGTACGCCCGATACTTGACAACAGTAGCAACGATCGGATTCATCTCTCACAAACTATCCTCTTTAACTTATCCTCATAGTTTTTATACATTTTCCACAACTATTACGAGTCTCTCTTTTCCATTTCTCTTTATGCAACAGCCCTAGCGTGAATTTACCCTACCCCCCTCCCGAACCCTATTTGTGCCAACGTATGCAATTAATGTACGCTCGTACGAACTTACTTTTGTATCTTTGGTTACTTAAATCGTTAAAAAAGAAGACAACATTTTATGAAAGACTCTCGCACGCATTAGAACGCAGGCTTGATTAATTTTTAAATTGAGCTTAACGATCGTTAAAGTTATCATAAGTCGGTAATATTAAAAACTATCAGTAACTTGATTACACCGAAACGTGTAACTCTTTCAACCGAGACTTCGAAACCTGTTCCGTGACATTTAAGGAGAAAGTCTGGTGCTTTATTTAGGTCGAAAATTGCGATTTATTTTTTATAAGAAAAGAATGTAATATTTTTTCTCTTTTCGAGAACAAAGTTTTAGTTATTGTTTGTATTCGTTTAATGCGCGATAGAAAAAGAATTAACTAATTAACTAAACTAATTTCTCCACCACCACGATCTCAACATTTCAAAAATTAACAAACCTTAATTTGAATGGAAATATTCAATTTCCCGGTCTATTTCGTTTTTTTCGTAAGATAAAAAAAAATTAATTTTCACATTTTGCCGCGATGATTAATTTAATAAACAAAGTCTTTTCCTATACTATATTCAAATATCAGTTCGATCGGCTAAATACTTTTTAAGATGTCGTACACATTTTTTATCTGAAATTACACCAGACTGTCCCATTAAAAAAACCTTGCTCGACGAATGCGTATCGTTCAACGCGTATTATTTTCATATACCGCCGCGATATTCTATGTATCGTAACAAGTTTTCATGCCGCAGCAAATGAGAAGCTGATGGAATCTAGTTAGGTTGCTATATGTTAAACAACGAAGCCCGCTACTAATTTTCTTCGCGCATCGGTCGATCAGAAACCACGACAGCGAAACACATTGTACTTCGAAATAACGACGATTAACCAGACCAGAGATACTTTTCGTTTATCCTTCATTTCATGTCTCGTCTACGTCACAGGTAACTCGACTATTTCTCGAATTAAGTGTAGTGTAGGTATACGAACGATTATGCACAATTGCATTAATACGACCGACGTCTGCTGACTACACCGGATAAATTATATTACGTTTTCTTTTCTTTTCTTTTCTTTTTCTTTTTTTGCCTTCAATCTTTAAGCGAAGATTAGAAGACGAAATAAGCCTGTATACATATTGCATTTTAAAAATGTGAGTTTACGAATAGTAAAAAACTTATTACAAGAGAGAAATGTACGAAGAAACGTGATACTTGATGTTTTTTCGCTTTCGGTAACCCCGGTATCGGTATCGGTATCGACACAATGCGTTACAAATCAAATACTCGTGTATCACACTCGACAACACGCTCTTGATTGAAAATAGTCTCATTGTCTTGAACAAAAATGTACATTAAGAAGAGAAAGTAAGTGTTTAAACTAAACACGATGTTATATAGCCCTGAGTATTATTTAATTATGGTTCAACGAAAAATCAATACGATAAAATATCACTTACGCGTATACTTATATGGTTACTCTTTAAACTGTATACAGACTCATTGAGGAAAAGGCGAAAATGGAATAGGACAGTATACGAAGAAGGAGTCTATGCATTACCTCCAGCAAGTGCCGCAGCCTTTGACCCAATTTTGTTCTTCTTTCCTCCTAGAAGCAAGTCGAGATGTTAGTAATAACTTACACGAACGCCACCAAATATTCTCTTATAAATGTACGTAACGTAAATTAATATACTCTATAGCTCTAGAATGTTAACAGATTATTAGCTTTCATTCTTAAATGAATTCAATTTGACGAGACTCACTTGGCAAACTGAAAGGCGCGGATTCGAATGGATCTTCTTGTAAATCTGTACACGTCATAACAAGACTTTCACGGCTTTTTACACCGCTAATACTTGTATTACTTCCTCTTCTAATTTTATCAAACTCCGCGCCAAAAATATGATCTTCTGTTAATTGATTAAAAGGTTCAACATCTTCGAACGGATTCCAAGCTGCTACGTCTGCACTTAAAGATCTTCCTTCCGTAGCTATCACGCTCGAAAGTTCACCCTAATCGAAAGTTCTTCGTTTTATAAATCATTTGTACAGTTCTATTATATGCACGTGTGCCCACGTAGATACAAACTCGTGTTATTTCAAACATTTTACAATAGACTGTATATGTATAAATATTTGTGTAATTAGAAATCTTCTTCAAATATAACAATATTAACACTGTTTTCAATTTGGAAACAAAATTAAAAAAAGAGAGATTCAACTGACTTAATTGTTAATTACATAATAACTGTGCAGTGCAAGAAACAGAAACAACAACAACAACAACAACAACAACAACAACAACAACAGCAACAAGAAATCAATATTGATTTAAATGTACAAAAGAGATAAAAACGATCAAATGAAAATCATAAAATCCGTCAACACGTTAACTACCATCATTCGGTTGAAAAACAGTCGTCTGTTAAAGAACAAAAGTAATGTTGGAAAAATTTGCTCCTTAACCCCATAAAATGAGAAATAACCAGAATAAAGATGGTCAAATTTGAAAAACAACCACAACTCAACAACACAACCACCACAACACACAAACAAAAAATAATAAAGCGTAACGATAATGATAAAATTAACAGAAAGGGAAATTAAAATAAATTTGTGCGCTTTATGTACTTACAATACGTACATGCGAGGCACTAGTTCCCAAACAAGGCCTTATGTCGGTTAAAACTTCTGGAGATGTACCATCTTCTGAACGTGATTTCACCGAAGCCTCGTACGGAGCAAGAAATTGTGTGGTTTCATTTGCAAATGCTCTATATAAAGAAAAGAATAGACTCGCGTGTACACAGTTTGTATAAGAAAATTTCATCTTGTAAAAAAAGATATAACATACTTGTTGAAAGCACTTGTATCGCTAACGTTTCTTCTGTGACGTGCAGAGGACAGTGTCGGACTATCGGGTGGAGAGGCACTCGAACTTATATTTTGACTCAAGCTCTCCGTTTTATTTACTGGCTTCGGTAAAGTGGGGGGTGTTATAGGAGTTACCTTATTAGATCCACTTGGAATACTCAGTTTCGATGCTAATGAAGTAACGGGTGTGAACTTCGAAGGCGGGCAACTGGCAGAAATATTGGACGCTTTAGAAAGGGTTTTAGAGGGTTTGGGAGCTACGGGAGGTGGTATTTTTGCGGGTGGCGGCATGGTTCGAGTATCGTCTTTGAACGGATCTGGATATCCTGTAAGCATAAATAATAATGTCTGAATCTAATTCGATTGAATTTCACGAAATTTAATAATGCCTTCCACGAGGTTCCTTACCCGATGGTGGGAATAGCGCTTCTAAATTTTCTTCGTTCACGTTCGTTGTCGACTTTGAATCGAAGTAATATGCACTTCTCTCCAAAACAGTCACCGGGGATTGTCTGGTCATAGGACTTTGCGATTGTTGACCCTGTGCCTGTGAGAAGGGAACATTTTGACCGGGAGGACAAACTTGCGACGAAGTTTGATTAAAGGGTGACTGCGTTGACATTTGATGAGACGTTTGCGCGTTCACTGGTACCGACTGAACGGTTGATTGCGTGCTTTGCCCCAAGTAAGACTGAGGCGCATTCAACGAAGTAATTTGTTGGCCAATCGGAACGTAGGAAGCTGGAATTCCGACAGAATTTTGCGGTTGCACCTGATTCCCTTGACCAGATATTTGGCTCACGATTTGCCCGCTTAAACTTATAGGTCCCGTGCTCACAACAGCCTGCCCTTTTGGTCGTTGCCTTGGTGTGACCGAAGTACCCTCAACTGTACTTATAGGTGACGGTTTTGGTGTTTTTACTAACGACGATCTCTTTACAGTCTCAGATTCCATAAGGGGAACGGGTAATGATTCCAAAACAGGAGTTGGAACTTTCTAAAAGGATAAGGAAAAATGTGTATGCTTTCACTGACTAGGGACGTTCACAAATTCAAAGATTGATAAAATTTTTTAAACAACACATGCAAATTGAGCAATTTATCCATAACAGAAAACCATTATGTCTACACAAAAACATTATTTACGTACATGTAAGTTTTGTATGGGGCATTCCTTGCCCTGGATTTGAAAAGCAATCACAGAAACTTGGTAAATGTCAGGGCGGCTATCGGGATCCAGCTCAAGCATATAACGAATCAGACAATGAAGGCTTCTACTATATCTATATAAAGTTGAGTGTAGTTCTAATAATTTTATTATGTAAGGTGTTAAAAATAAAATGTTTTAAAAGAATATACATATACGTATATATGTAAAGTACAAACCTTGAATTATCCGGTATAGTAAAATTTCCTGTCTGAATAGCAAGTGTGCTTTCTCCGAATGGTAATATGAAAAAACAAAGTTTGTAAAGTAAACATCCCAATGCCTGAAATAAAACAAAAATCTTTACTCGATCCGATTCACAGACAACTCCACTTATACATCTAATACTTATAAAAATTTATCGTACCCATATATCAGCTTTTGTCGTAATAGATTTCCCACAGTACATGTCAACCATTTCAGGTGCTCTATAGCTAAGGGTCGTGTACTTTTTAATTTCTTCTTCCACTATCGCAGCACCTTGTACACCAGGATTAAGAACTTTAGCCGTTGCTGAACCAAAGTCGCACAAAACATAATGACCAGCATCGGAATATAATATATTTTCAACCTGAAATGTATACAGATATTCATGTAAATATGTAAAAAGTATATATATTTCCATGTAAATATGTCAACAAGATTTAATACGGATGATAAACCTTTAGATCCCTATGTATTATTGGCGTTTGACAGTGATGCAATCGTGACACGGCCTCGCAAACATCGCAAAATATTTGTAAGACTTCTGATTCGCTGAAACCAGTCTGCAACCTATAAACGATAAAGCAAAATTTTTCTTAGAATTTACGCATGTTACATTATTCGTGCATTCGATACATTTATTACCTATTGTTCATCATCTGAAGAACTTGAGACTTGCAATAAGGCATTAAAAGCAATAATTCATGTACTCCTCCACCTATGTGAGTGATGCTGCTATCCACATATCCAATGATATTTTTATGACCGTTCAAGTTACTCTATAAATTAAAATAAATGTAATCGATAGAAAATGATTTGATTCAAAAACATTATATGTATATATACACGCAACATTACTTTCGTACGTGTGTTTTAATAAATGGATAAATATTTATATAACTCACTGCAATTTGTATTTCCCGCTTACATACGTTGAGGTCATGTTCGTTATTAACATACATGCGTTTAAGCGCATACCGTCCACTCGAAGATTTAACCAGGAATACAATAGCAAACCCTCCTACAATATCAGTATCGAAACATAATTGTACGATCGTGTTACGTTCAAGAATATATCTAATCTTTGTACACGATACACGACCAACAATTTCTATATTCCTCTATGGTATTTACAGCGTGTAACTAATGTCTTTCCGATAGAACCATAAATTTTCTATTACCTGTTATAATTTTACAACTTTGCTTGTAATAACATTACATTTTTTAAGTATACATATAAAAATTTATGTAATAAACGTTGGTTACATATCATACTTCAGTCATCGAACAAAAATTATGAATTCGCTACCGTTTAACCCAATCCCCGCAAATCGCGATTAAATCGTTGATCGTTGTTAATATGTATTTTCTTGTCAATAATGCATAATTAATGTTGTTTTTGCGTGGCGTACATAAAAAGCAAACGAGATAATAGAGTGTATGAACGAAATGGTAGAAGGGATGATAAGTATTCAAGGTTGAAGGCAACACGTACCTTCCGCCAAAACTTCCTCAACAGTCACAGTATAACGTCCTACCACAAAGACCTTTCCCAAATAACTGTTCGGTTCCTTCGATGTGTTTTCGATTTTTGAAAATAATTTCTTCATATTGGCACACGTCGTCGGCCCTCCCAATACCGAACCGACTTGACATAAGGCCTCTTCTACTACTTAATCTTTAGATGTACAATATGGCGAGTTTATTTTCGTGAATCAATTATACTAATCGTACTTGTACCTTCCAACTTTTAAATCACAATAATTTTCGTGATAAACTAACTCCAATGAACTTAACCAAAGGATATAGTTCTAGTCATGATAACATTTAACGTACTTTACCCAGCCGACATATTCAGGCCGTATAAATTGCGCATGCTCCGCTCTGCATGAGCTACATCGGAAACATATGTGTACAACTTCCGCTCGAACGTCAAAACTTTCTTGTTGACTTTTTTTTTCGATTGGCTTTTTATTCGATCAAAACATCTTGTTTACAAAGTTCGAACCATATTGGGCCCGTTTTGCACTCTTTCTTCAACTACGAACTATAATTAGACAAATTGTTCTTTGGTCCTTAATAACTTTTTCTTGTGCCATTTTTCGAAACATTCTACAAATTAATCAGCGTCGTCATGACCGTGTGATTCTTTGTACAAAAATGAGACAGGTGAAAGTTTCAATGCACGAGAATTTTTTTATTATAATTTTGTTATACTTGGTTTCACATTAACTAAACGTTTTGACAACCCTGCAAATCGCACAATAATGTTTTATTTATATATTTAATACATACATACATACATACATACATACATACATACATACATACATACATACGTACATATATGTATATATGAGATACATTATTTGCGTTAGCGATATAGGTTTCATCGTCCCTCCTATTTCTTCGTTTGTTAACTGCATTTCGCCTTTAAACTAACTTTCATATTTATCGATTATAGGCTCCTAAGCAAACGGACAACGATTCGATGGACATTCGTGCGCATTTGATGCTCGTGTATACTGTTTTTTTTTTTTGGTTGATTAATCGATAATAACGTATACAACTATTGGACAAAAGAAATCAATGACTTTCGTCGATCATGGACAAACTGTCAAGCGACGATGATATAGCCGAAATACTGTTATTGAAAAACCTGCCACCTAAATGTGAAAACGAAGAATATGTTAAATTTACTCCAAAAATTGAAAAATCCATACCAGAAAACAACTTTGAGGTATTTATCAAAGATTGTACATCGCAAGACAAGTCTCAACATCAAGTTAAAAATGAATTTATGGAATGTAATATCGAAGACTGTGACAGTTTGCTGAATTTCAATAAGCAGATAATCTCTTATTTGTTGGATTTGAAAAAACACATAACCTATGTTCTTCAAAAGTGTGAAAAAAAATTGAAAGTGGTAGAGTCAAATTTACAGAAACATACAATCGGAGATACAAAGATTTTGATTTGCAATGCCGGTATGCCATATTTCAAAGACAGAAATTATTTCTTTGCTCCTAACAACGACGACGAAACATTAAAAGAGAATCATAAAGAATTACAGCTTAGAAATCTTCCTAAAGTTTCACCATGGACAATAAAAGAAAGATACACCCTTTTGAAAGCGGTACAAGAAGAAACTATTGCAAAGGCGTTACACTCTCAAAAGATAGAATATATAAGGCTCAATGGGGTAAAGAAAAAAAAGAAGAAAACCAAAAAATTTCCACCTACAGATTTGGTAGAAATGATTGGTCCATTAGGAGGAAGGGAATTCGATTGGTTTAAAATATCGTCTATCCATTTTGAGGAGATACATGCACCGCTTGACTGTCGTATTATGTGGAATAGTTTTCTTCATCCCAAGATCAACAAAAACTGTTGGACAAAACCAGAAGATAATAAGTTGAAAGAAATTGTAAAGAACTATAAATATCAAAATTGGGATGGTATTGCCAAAGAATTAAACACAAATCGTACAGCGTATCAATGTTTCATTAGATACAACACAACAAAAAAATTGCCTAAAGTTAGAAACTGCATTTGGGAAAGCAAAGAGGACGAAAGACTTTTAAAGTTGGTTGACATATTTAAAATTGGTGACTTCATTCCCTGGGGTGAAGTAGCCAGTTGGATGCAAAAGAGAACTAAACAGCAAGCTTATTTCCGATGGAATTATAGTTTGGCCCCATATTTAACGAAAGGTAGATTTAGCAAATCCGAAGATAATTTGTTGAAGGATGCCGTCACTAAATATGGTACAAATTTTAGCAAAATATCAGCTGCATTGATGCCTAACAGATCAACTGTTCAACTTAATTATCGTTATCAATTATTAACTACCAACGAAGATAAAAATTGGAATGTATGGACGCTCACGGAGGATTCAAAATTGCTTGAACTCTACAAATGCTTTGGGCCAAATTGGTCTAAAATATCTGAAGCTTTTTCGTGTAAAACTAGGACTTACCTAAGACATCGACATGCAGCTTTGCAAAAATATATTAAGAGGGGTATTTCCGTTGTTGAGTTACACAAGAAAGATAAAAACGAAGGGCAGCAAAATCAGAAGGAAGAGGAATCTAAACAGAGAAGTAATAACAGGTTAAACAGAGATTGCGGAAACGATGTAGATCAAGAATTAATCGAGTATTTCTATATGAAACAAGCAACAGTAAACTCTATTCAGAAAAGGAGACATTGCTCGGTAGAAGAACTTGAGCGCAATACAAAAAAATTGTATAGCACTTTACAGCTGCTAAATGCTAAACTTAATATACCCGACGACATTAGTAATTTAAAATTAAACAATCGCGAGAAACAACTTTTATGTTCCTTGAGAGAATACACAAAGATGAAGAGTGATAAGAGACGACAATTTGAAGTTATAGATAAGTGTAGCTCGCTTATGTTTGGAACAAATTGTGATACAAAAGACGCCACTCATTACATACCACCACCTCCTTTTGACTCGCAGATCAAATTGAAAAAATTAAAGGAAACTCAGTGCATTGATTATCATCTAAATACAAATAATACTTTCTTAGTTGTAAAACCAGTAGACTTCAACACGCCAGACTTTGTAATCGCTCATATCGGCGGCAACGAGCAAGAACTACAATTTCAAAAGCTCAGTCAATTGTTTGAAGTTAATAGTTTAAAGTGTAGACAGAGTGCACATAGTATCAAAGATTTTTGCACTTTTTCAACTGGTATACCGCTACAACAAAATAATAGTAGCAATAGTTGTAATAGCAATAATAGGAATAATTTTAGTAATAATGCAGTGCAAGAAATGAAATTTATTGCTTGTTGCGAGAATCTTTCTGTTAATTCTTTTGAAAATAACAGTACTCACGATTATAGCTGTGTTAAGTTAAAGAGCGAAGATCACGAGGAATCGTGCGAACAAACGACGAAAAATATTACATTATTTAATACGTTAGAGAAGATACAAAATTGTGCATCCACTTCTAACGTAGAAACAAATATAGAACAAGATATACCCTCGATAGAAGCGACGCACGCAACGCTACTGAGTCTAAAGAATTTAATGTATTTGAAACAATTGAACGAAACGTGCAATAATATACATCAGTTTTTCACGAAATCAAAGAAATTTCAAGAATCGCTTAATTTACTAGAAACACGCCTCGAACAATTGTTTATGTACCCGATTGGCCAGTCAAAAACTGCATTACCGAAAGTTTACGTAATGGATGCATTTTCATACGATGATATTGCACCAAAAAGAAAAGCTTCTGAAATGTCCAAAATTCTAAAGCCATATAAAACAAAAAGGTTACATTCGTACGATAAAAAGAGTAAAAGTCTAAGATAATAGCGCGACAGATTCATTAATATTTCAAATAGTACTACTATATATACATGTGAAGTGTTATAATTACGGTATGAAAACAAAATTATCCCCTTTCATATAAAAAAGTACTAATTTGGATGAATCATATCTTTCAAAAAAATTTGCCAATTTTTTTAATCATTTAAAAATACGTATAGGCAAAGTTTTTAATCGATTTTATTCATCGAGTATGTGTGTGTATTGAATTTGAAGTATGTATGTATATTTATAGTGCAAATTGATAATGATATTAAGATAAATGAACAAGAATCTATGGATACAACGATCACTTGTATCCTTAAACGCGATACAAACACACTTCATTTAATTTTTTATTTCACGAGAAATAAAAAATACAAAACATTACATTGTTTTTTTTTAACGATACGATAAAGGACATTGTAAAATACATAAATCGACGAACAAATATAGAAAGAAGAGTGTATCATTGTATATAAATTCTACAATTTGTATATAAATTATAAGAATGTAAACAATTTCAATTACTTGGAAACAGTAGAATAAATCCTCATCAATTTTGTTTCAACATTTTTTTTGCCTAATTATTAATGCAAAATAAATATAAGTATATTTATCTATATTGCTAAATGTCCTTTCAACGATATTTGCCACACGTAATAGTTGTAACCAACACTCGCGTAGTGTATTTCATAATCATGATATCGAAGATAAATCATACGCGCAATTTAGAAAATGATTCACGCAAGCGGTGCAGTAATTAATCACACGTACAGAGTGGGGCTGGCTCAAAAGTTACCTAAGTAACTCATTTATTTTTTACGATAGACAAAAATGCTTGAAACAAATCTTATTTGGTTGTAAGGAGAGCCTAATCCGATGTTATTAGTTTTTCTGTAGGTGGGAGTGCAAAGTAGACTCGAAGAGAAATTCGGAGAATGAAAGTATCAAGACGTATCTATCCCAAAACATGCGTTGTGAGATATTCAGCTACCAAAATAGTGGAATTATAATCCTTGAACTGCTGCTTGAGCGTTGTATGAAAGTCTCATCATCTTGAATTTTAAAAACCAATACAGTGTTTTAACACTGTTAGAAAATATGTTATGTCCGTTGAAATATGAGTTCAATAGCCTATGAATCAAAGTTAATCATGGCTAAACAGTTATAATGCTTTAGTAGCTGAGTATCTTGAAAAATATTATTAAGTTAGATACATCTTATTACTTGTATTTTTCGAATGCATTAACATGTCGAATTTCGCTATATTTTTTCTTTAGAGTTGAACTATTGTAGCTAGTCATAATAATTGCACAACCTGCCGTAAAAACTCCCCACAGAAGAAGACTAGCCTCAATTTTATGAACTAAAGCTCGGATACTATCGAGTACCAATTTTAATGGTTTATTCGTAATTTTGAAAGTTGGCTTATCTTGAATTATTTTCATCTTTGACAAATAATCGATAAGAGGTGGATGATCATGACTAAATATTGGAAAATATTCCTCAATTTTTTCTCTCGTCCACCAAGCTTGTCTGTTCCACCTAATGAAGAAAAAAAGCAAGTAAAAGTAAAAGTAAGTAAGCGAAACACTGTACACCTGACCCTCTTTTTACAACGATTTTAAAGTTACATGAAATTAAATTTTGTACAGTTTTTTATTCTTTAAAACAAGCTTAAATATATTTCTATTAATCAGTATTTGCATGATTTTTATTTACACAATTTTCTTTCTTTTACACGGTACTCTTTCACCGTATAAAAAAAGGATTAGGTGTATGACGTGTATAAAGAAACACTTACGACTGGCTCCATGGAGTGTAATGATAGTGATAAAGACTGGCTTTAATGTATTTTGGAGGTTTATCACGGAATGGATTCTCCACATTATTCATTAAAGACAATACTTCAGGCTGACCGCTTAAAAGACGATAAGCTAACGACATAAGCCACGGATTCTGGTGATATGTACCCAATGCAGCAAACCACATTTGCCAGTCGAGACGTGGTTGATGTGGGGCTACGATCATACAGTTACGATCATATAGTTAAGAATATTTAAATATAGTGTTCCATATAATACGACAATTATCCATAGTGCAGATATCATTTGTTTAGACAGACATAAAATAAGCAATAATCGCTAGCACATGTATTTGACACGTGGTAGCAAACGTGTTGACAAATTTTTGATCAAGGCAAAAATAACGAATAAACAAATACAAAATGAAAATAATAATGTTACTAACGACCTACCGACAAAGGGTAATGAATTGTTAACGTTCCCTGGCTTATACAAGAATTCGTATTCTTTCCATGGCCCATCGATGTTATTGCTTCCTTCGATGATTACCTCTCGTCTACCTTCCACTCCAGTCATGCGTCTAAATAATCCATAACTATTTACCAACCGAAATGGTTCGACTTTTGCATGAATTTGTTTCAGTTGAGTCGGTATTGTTGAATTATAAGATTGATGTAACGTAGCATACGGTACCTAAAAACAGTTATCACTTTTATCTTTGCCACAGTTAGTTTCGATTTTTAACGCGTTGATCACCAAGTTATCCATTTTTACCAATTTTTTATGTTACCATAAAATTAGCAGAACTTGATAATTAAATGGGAAGAAATCATTTTCAACAAAACTGCACTTTATATGTATATCTAGCTCAGTGTCTATGATGATAATAATAATCATTGTCCCAATAAAGAACACACAAAGTCAGAAAAGTATTCGATACTTTCTAGTTGAACATTTATACTGAAACAGCTTTAATACTATCTTGTCAAGACAAACCAAGGATTCGACCACGCGTAGGAAACATATTCGATTTGTGCTGGTGATCAACGTATCAAATGATCGCACACAAATGTAACTCCATATACTTACAATACTTATAGAAACAATAAAACAAACTGCTGCTGTGTACAAACTTGTCACGAACGTCGTGAAAATTTTATTTCGCATTCCTTTGACCGTTAATAAAGAATTGACTATTGCATCTGCTATTGCTAAGCTAAGAGACGCTACGCCAATGTAAACAGAAATTGGAACCGCACGTGACAAAACATAATTGAATTGGTCTTGTGTGAAGGCTAAAAATGAAAAGTTTATAGTTGTAACGGGAGAAGCAACAATCATTATTGAAACAATCTTCCGTTTACGTTATAAATACGTACATACCGATATCACTTTGAATTGTCCAGTTATCGGTAAGTCTAACATTATAATACACACAAGTTCCATATAAGATAGCTGCATAAACTAGGCTACACAATATGGTAGAGAGATATTTTATAAAACTATTAGAACTATTATTTGATTTTCTCTTATAAAAAAATTGGTCGTCGAGTAAAGAAATGCACAAACAGATAGTTAGGAAGTTGAAGAAAGTATAGTTTCCTGTTGCTATAATGTGTATTTGAAGGAACATCTGGTTAAAAATAAAAATGATTAGATAAGTAATCACTGATATTATTACGTAACATATGCGACATATACATCCATCGAATATACTTACTTGAATATAAAAAGCTGTTATTCTCACTTTTCTATTTGGGAAGAAAAATAAAAATGGAACAACAAGTTCGGTAATATTCACAATGACTGTAGTAAAACGTAGAAACCACGTTGGCAAATGATGCGCATACCATGCTAACGGAGTAGGTATACATTGCGATTCAAAATGCACATTCAAAGCTAGAACATATTCATAACAACTTGTATAAATTATAAACCTGCTCTTTTCTTTTCTATGTTTTCATAAATCGAAGATATAATTATTTCAATATACTATACCATCTAATTTCCACCATACTGGGCAATAAGCAGTAAGTTTTACTACCCCGCTGGAAAACATTAAACGAAAAAGTAACCAACGTACGGTCCAGAAAGTCACAGCATCACTCGGTGTATTTGTTTTTCCCCGTTGAGAATACCATAACGGTGCTACTAATACACATAAGAATCCTGCTTCCAAAAGAAGCACATCCCTGTAAAATATGTAAAAAAATAAGAAAAAAGAAGAAAAAAACAAATTTAATATCAAATATTAAATATTTACCATTGAAACAACATAAATGTTTGCCCAATTCGGTAGAGAGAGTAATATAGTGACCACAGTGATGCAAATACCGGTGCAATGCAGAATCTTTGCGACACAAATCTATAACGAAATATTTATCGTTATCGTTCTTATTCCATTAATGTTCAAAGTACAAAAATATAACTGAAAAATTCTTACCCCACAAAGGAAAGAACAACTCCGATAAGTGATAATATATCTAGCATGTACTCGACGTTTAGTCCAAAGTAAGGAGCAAACCACAACAACGTTGGCTTCTGTGTTAATTTGTGAAGTAAAGTTCCCCGTCCTTTGAGATCCAACTGAGTTCTAGCTGGTAGAATTCCATTATCACCGTACAATCCTTTATATTTTTGTAACAAACGAATATACATAGACATTTAAAATTATTCTATTCTTCTGTAACTCACTTTAAATACAATATCACGTATTAAGAATATAATAGCAAGAAAAAAAGAACAATCAATAATAAATAAATAACTTTTCGAATACTTACCCGGAATTTGTACATAAAAGCTAAGGAACGCGAAGAGATATACAATACACATCCCCCGTAAGAATAAGTTACGAGTATATCGTACTTGTACCATCATAAATTCGTTGTGATCTCTACTTATTTTAAATTACTACTTCTCGTTTCTATAGAAAGAACGAAAAACCGGCAACACAACGGACAGAGCAATGCAACCTATGTTAAGTATCTTATACAAAACGTCCATTCGAATTTTATACTACGATTGCAAAAACTATTAGTTGAACTGGATTGGTGGTTTCACGTTTCACACGAAAATATGCATGCGTTGTGTACGTATGTATTATATGTAAATATCTATGTAGATACTACTGTCCCTACAATTGAACGCCTATGCTTTTAATTCTTGCTCTTTTAGAAGAAAATCACCATCTCCAGCACCAACCACAACGCCTCTTTAAAGAATGGATTTCAGTTGGAATTTGGAATTGGAACTAGTAACTTTCTCCTCGAAGAACAAAAATTAATAAACCAGGATAAAAAAGAATGATATAGTATATCTATCAAGATAGATGTAGAATCGATAGGGTTCGAAGAACTACTAAATTCCACGTGATCTAAACAACTTTTTCAGATCGTTCTTTAAAGGGATTTATAATACATGTTCTGTGATAATTTGGACAAAAATTTTGAAATAAAATTAACTATTTATCTATATTTATGCTTATCTGGATTGGCAACGTTCATGTGACACGAAAATGATAAGAGGATTACGTACTTACATAAGTAGGTACCTTTTAGTTCCTCGGGCCATGTGACACGAAAATGCATTCGATGAATAGGTCTATTCTGTACTTACTACTCTGTGACGATACATCTTTCACCAGAGTCTACATATATCAACTCAACGAACCAATAGGATTTCGATCCCACGACCATCTGTTTATATCGTTTCCATCCTTTCAGGAAATAGCTTATAGTAAACTTGTACGATGGAATAGAACTTTCCTTTCTTGCGTCAAGAAGAGGCAGCGCTGACCGCAGCCATATCGATACCCTAAACTGTGCTCAGAACTGAACTTCAAGTTTTTCTAACTTGTGACCTTTTAATTCAGTGTCATGAAACACGTGATGTAAGAAATATGTCGAACATCCGGTGTATGTGACTCCCTCTGAAAATGCAAAGAAAGTAAGTACCTACACCCGAAACAATCCGAACACAAAAATGGTGGATGCTGAAAATGATAGCCAGGATTCTAAGGAAGTAAATATCAGAGAAAATATGGATAACAATCAACAAAAGGGAGAATTGGTTCCCATGGAGGATAACGAAGTAAGAGATGTGTGTTAATTATATTGTCTTATAATCATTTTACTGTATAATTTACTTTTCCTTTTAAAAATGTTTCTCATATCTTATCCAAAAAACTAATAAACTTGATTTCGTCGTTACGTATTTAACTTAAACATTACCGGAAAATGTCGAATTTCTAAATGCATTTACAATTTGTTCAGTGATATGCTAGTGTGATTTAAATGTTCATCACAACCTGTTCTGTTCAAGGATGATGCGTTACATGTTTCAATTAAAACGTCATTCTTATGAATCTGCTTGATAAAAATCTATTGTCTTTCCAATTTGTTGTACAGGTGAATGCAGAAATTGAGGAACGAAGGAAAAAATATCAGCCTTCGCGTCTTGAATCATTCTTTGCAATAACAAAGTCTTTAATCATACGTGCCATTATTATTTATTTCGTTATTTATCTATTTAGACGTCCCCAAACCAATATTAATGTTCAATCTTCTGGTGCTGTTAATTCACCAGATTCGCTATCTATAAACATATTTCAAAATGGGACATTGTTCGATTTACATGTTTATTTATCAGAATCTGAGACTTTTAAACAGTTTAATGATACAGAGAAATTAATATGGTTGGAACAAGGATTAATTTATGGAGATTGGTATAGCGGACCAGATAAAGACGGCTCAAAGACTATAAAATATAAATTTAATCCATCCGATCAATTAAAAAACAATGGATCTATATACCTTCATGTATATGTTACAAAGAGCGGAAAATCTCCAAATCCTAAAGCAAGCAAAAATGTTTATGCGGGTGATTACATGTCATATTCTCGAATAATGTTAAATAAATTTAAGAAAATTAAATACCAAAAGAAACATAATTTGTTAACTGGTGAAACTACTGCGACTAAAGAGGAAATTGAGGTATATATAGGTTCAATTCGCTGTATACACGCGCGCGCGCGCGTCATTTGTAAAAAATTGAACATGTTAAATATTTGTTATAGAAAGCTGAAGTAATGAATCAAGAGTATGTGTCACATTGGCATCCTAATTTAACTATTAATTTAGTAACTGATCAAACTAATTGGGTACATGGTCATGTGCCATCTCCTTTAGATACGTGTAAGTTGTTTATTAGACGATGTGATTTGTATTAAATACAGCTTACATATTTATTTTTTTTAATAGACATCCAATTTTTACCTGGAGAGATATTTTATAAACCCGCGATACACATGAATGACTTTTGGAACATGCAAAGGGATTATCAACCCTTGAACGAAACTGTAAAGGAGCTTGAACTTAGATTAACTTATCAACCTCTTTCATTGTTTAAGTGGCAAATATATATAGCTCAAACAATCAGAAATACATGGACATCTTCTCTTATGGGTATGTTATTATAATCAGAGTTACGAAGAGAATTTTAGTTATATAACATTGAATTTCATATAGGAGATTCGTTGGACGAAGATGACAATGATCAAGATACTTTGAAGGAAACATTATTGGAAACTAATCCTTATCTGTTGGGTCTGACTATAATTATATCAGTATTACACAGTGGATTCGAATTTTTAGCATTTAAGAATGGTAAGACATCATTTTTCAAAATATGTAATTATGTTAGAATTCATTCTTCTAATATCGTTTTATCCGTTTTTTTTTTTTTTTCCAGATATTCAATTTTGGAACAATCGCAATTCATTGGAGGGTCTATCCGTTCGATCTGTATTTTTCAATGTTTTCCAATCACTTGTTGTTTTATTGTATGTTCTTGACAATGAAACGAATACAGTTGTTCGGATTAGTTGCGCGATAGGTATATGCATAGAAGTATGGAAAATTAATAAGGTCATAGATATTAACGTTAACAGGAATTCAAAAGTATTTGGTATCTTTCCAAAAATAAGTTTTCATGATAAAGGATCATACGTAGAATCTACCACGAAAGAATATGACGAACTTGCATTCAAATATTTATCTTGGGCACTTTATCCTCTTTTAGGAGGATATGCAATTTACTCGTTAATGTATTTAGAACATAAAGGTTGGTATTCTTGGATTCTTAGTATGCTTTATGGATTTTTACTAACATTTGGATTTATTATGATGACTCCACAATTATTTATTAATTATAAACTAAAAAGTGTGGCACATCTTCCATGGCGTATGATGTCTTATAAATTTTTAAACACATTCATTGATGATATTTTTGCATTCGTTATAAAAATGCCAACACTCTATAGAATTGGTTGCTTCCGTGATGATATTGTTTTCTTTATATTTTTGTACCAAAGACAGATATATAAAACTGATCGTACTAGGGTAAATGAATTTGGTTTCTCCGGTGAAATGGAAAATAAAATAACTACCGATAATAAACACCATGCTATCAAAGATTCGCCGAAAACTGAAACAGATAAAAAGAATAAGTAATATACAGTATAGTATAATGTTAGCGTTGAGTGTATTATTCGAACTTTATCTGAAATTAATAAACATATTAGTACCAAAGGATATATCTGCATGCATTAATACGTATCACTGTGAGTTTGATATAAATATGTGTGTAAGTATATATTCTTTTGGTTTATGAGATTTAGCCAAATAAATAAGCCTCGCAAAGGTACCAATACCCTTAAATGGGGGGATGTCGATATCCATTGTACTAGGCATAATGTTAACTGACAAAATTTTAGTACCAACATAAGCAACTATGTATATTCTTTTAGGAAGCTGTTGTCATCGTGTTTTATTTAGAATTTGTTGTCTTTTCATTTCTATTTCAATTCCTTATAATTGTTATCGTTTTGAATGATATTGAGGAAAAAATATAAAGTTCACTACGACATTTAGAAAATATTTCAAACTGCGATTTTGTTTTTGTTGTATACATATAAATTGAAATCGTCCGAACTATGCGTACATTCATACACATATATTTACCTGAATAATTTGAATGAAAAAATAATATATTTTACGTGCACACATCATGTTAATACAATGACATTTGAGCAGTGTATCTTTTGTACTAAATATTTTAGTTACACACAACACACACACACACACACACACACACACACACACAAAATATTGCAAAATATTTTTGCAGAAAATAACAAACTTGAAACAAACTGGTTCGCGCAATGCAAATGTTTAAAATTAAATTGTGACCGCTCTTAGATACGATTATAACTATTGTTTTTAATAAATCAATATCTCTAAGTAATGTTTAATTTTATATTGTGAGTAATAATAGTTTACTATTCATTTTTCCTGAAATTAACTTGTGTTCGCTAAAGACAATGACGTTGAATAATTTAATAAAATGTACATAGACATTATGTATAGTTGAAATGTGCAGGTTTATTACGACATCAAAATATTTCAGTAACATAACAACGAGATAAATTTTTAGACAACAAAAATTATCCTTTTTATAATTGTTTATAATATAATTGTAACAAGGCTTCCTGAAAAGCAGTGTTGAGAAAATTTTAATCTGATTATATTCTCCACGATTACTTGTACAAAGTAATTGCATTGCAAAGTGCTATTGCTTTGTAAAAGTAATCATAACAGATACAATCAGATTACATTTGGTCCAATATTATTGTAAAGTATACAATCACGAAATATTAACAAGATGCGATAAAAGAAAACAATGAAAATATATATGTATATTGTATAAAATACTCTATGGATGTAATAGTGTGTAATAGCAGCACACATCATGGAAAGACGTTAATAATTTGCGTGAGAGAGAGAAAAAACGTTGATACATTGAATATATTCGAACTGCGATGTAAAAAATGTACAAGAATATTGGCAGGTATATAAGATTTACAAGAGATGACCCTATATTAAAGAAAGGTTATACTTGTTACTTATAATACAGTATAAAAACTGTCTGTAGGTATACAGCAACGCATTTAACAACAGTGTTTTCTATTTGCAATTTGTTCAAATTATTTTCAATCCTATGATTAACATGTAAATTATTCTTTAAAATGTACCGTCAATAGAAATGCAAAGTAATTGTATAAACTTAAAATTGATCGCAATATTGTTAACGTTTAATTTTTTACGAAAAGGCACTTTCTCTTTTTGCAGTATTCCAGCAAATTTCAGCAGTATATCGAACGTCATTTATTTACGGATCCTCCTCGCATTTATAGATTTTTATGCATTTAAAATAAAAACATTAAGTAATAATAGCCGAGTTGGGTCAACTTTTAAATTTATAAGCATTATTTTTGTATATATTTTCTTAATATACTACATCATTCGTAAGAAAGCATATTGAAAAATGTGAGCTAATCCAATAGAAAAGTGTAAAACAAAGATATATTACAATATTACGATTTGGATTTCGAATTCAAGCAATGATTTGATAATTGAAATATTATTAAATAATAAAGATTACTGTTCATTATTACGTTCCTTTTTTTATAAATAATAATGGTGCGAAAGTACATTAAACCATCTGTATTGTCCATTTCATTTTAATACAGATTATCTGGTTTCAACACAAGACATTATGCATTTCATATTAACTTTTGATTGAATTGATTTCTTGTAGAAAACATTGCATATGTATTTGAAAAATCTTCAAGTTTCTATAACAAACAGGCAAAACAGCAATACTATATGTAGATATCAATGGCTATTCTTTTTGTACAAATGCACTATGATAGTGATTATGTACTAGATATAAACAATTTAAAGTACAAATTTTTATGTACAGTATTTCCATATTATGTTCAAAAAATACAATTATCTCAAGATGAAACCTATATTCTTTTAATTTGCAATCTTTCCTTATAGTATTCCGTTTAGCGCCATACCAACTGTATTTCTGTTGCTACATAAATAGTTTAATAGACAATTGAAAGTAATTGGTCAAAACAATTGAATGATTAGGAATATTAATCTTATTTCACAATAGCACTGCAAACAGTTTTCATTGAAACGTGAAAAACTATAGGTACGGAAAACGGTTTGAATGTGCATCAGTGTTCTTTGTTATACATATTTGTCTACAGATTGCATGGCACTAAAGGAAACCAAGTACTATATGCACTGACTATATAACATAGTATTTAAATAATTAAATCTTGACGGCTAAATTATCGTAAGTAAAACCTTCGTACTGTATAACAGGAATGGCCAACGACAAGTCGATCACAGCCGACAGGAGACGATTTCAACACGCCCCATTGTTAACTTATCAGTACACAAGACACAAGAAGTTTGAATGTGTTAAATGTGAAAATTTTAGTAGGTAAATATCGTGACACATTTTTAAGAAGAAACGTCGATAATATATATGTATATATGTATATGTATGCAGAAGTTGGCCACCCCTGCTGTAGAAAACTGCAATCCTGAAATGTCGTTATATTTTTAAATATTAAAAGAGCAATTTACACAGCACGTAGATGTACTGTATCTGTCGTTAAATTCACAAATTTGAAGAATAAATTTAAATAATTTATTTCGATTAATCAAATTGCATAGAACAAAATAATAAAAATTCAGTAACACGTTGATAAAACGCCACTTACTTATTTTTCTTTCGGCACAAGATATCCGTTGTGATTCGAGTCACCAGAGCAGCTGTATAAACAAAATATACCGCCTAGCTAAATGTCAAAGTGATTGTCACGCACATATTGTGACTGGATATACATATATATCGTGATTCCAGGAACAAATTCGTGCCTTCATCTTATTAAAACGTTATGAGCAATCCCGAATTGTAACGTTTTATCGAGGAGTTACTGTAACGAGTTATTTCTCTTGCAATAAAAAGTAAAAACAAGGCAGTGTGAGTATAGTGAAGTTTAATAGTAATTAGAAGTAACTAAAAAATACTGTTCTACTTTGTACGTTGCACAGGTTTTATATGCAAGTGTAAGCCTGAGAGGCAGCTTTCTTTTAAAATTATTAAAATTTCTTCAAGTCACTGTACACAAATTTATAAACTTATTCTACTTAGCACAGAATGCGCTACTAAAATGGCAGTACTTTAAGTAACGGATAACCCCGTACTACTTTATAAATGGGCTGTGCTTGACATTATTTAGACATGTTGTAAGATCTTATTGAAAAAAGTCGTTCTACAAAATTTCTGATCGTTTCAAGCCTAAAAGTATTCTGTATTTTCCTATGTAAATGAATTGCTATACTTCTGTTCTTATAATTTGTTCGTACATGTTCTATCATAGATTAGAAACTTGTTTCATTGCTTGTACAATACTCATGATATGCGCTTCATTTAAGTTGCAAGGCCTGCATCTTTAGCTATACTATAGAATACAGTAGACGAATTATTAAGTAACGCTTCTGGGGACTCGTATTCCACAATAAGTCCATTATCCAGTACAATGACCCTATGAAATATTTTTTATTTATTATTAACGAATATTTTAAAAAGTTCTATTATAATTTTTCGAAACATACCTGTCTGAATCGAGAATTGTATTAAGTCTATGAGCTATTGTAAGAACCGTACAATCTTTAAATTCTTGTCTAATTGTTGTTTGTATTAAATCATCTGTTTCTAGATCGACTGATGCTGTTGCTTCGTCGAGAATAAGTACTTTTGTTTTTCGAAGTAATGCTCTTGCTAAACATATCAACTGTCGTTGACCTATGCTCAAATTTTCTCCACCTTCGGTTACTTCGTGTAAAATACCATTTGGCAAATCTGAAGTACAATAAAATGCAGAACATTTAACATGTATTTATTTTTAATATTAATTATTTAAAACCAATCAAATTGTTTTTACTTTTTATAAAATATTTAAGATGCGCGTGTTCCAAAGCTCTCCATATTTCGTCATCAGTGTGACGATTGAAAGGATCCAAGTTAATCCTCAAACTTCCTGAGAATAGTACAGGATCTTGGGGTATGATAGTTAATCTAGATCTTAGATCATGCAGACCCAATTTGGCAATATCAATATCATCGATAAAAATTTGTCCCGCAGCTGCTTCTATTATTCTAAATAAACCCAATGTCAATGAAGACTTTCCAGCACCGGTTCTACCGACAATACCAACTTTCTCCCCCCCTTTAATGGTAAATGTTAATCCATGAAGTACAAGTTCTAGGCCTTCTCTATAACGAACTTTGTAATCTATAAATTCAACGTGTCCCTGCGTAGGCCATTCATTAGGCGGCGTATAATTCGGATTTTTCCACGCTGCTTCTTGAGGAGTTTCTGTATATTCTTTTATTCTTTCTACCGCTACTATATTTGTTTCAACATCAGAAGTCATTCTTACTAGCCAATTTAATGTCTGAGTAACCTAAAGAGATCATTTTTATTATAAAATATTCTACAATCGAATAAACGTAAAGCGTAGTTATTAGATAAGGCTAAATGTTTGCTCTTACTTGTAAGGCATAACTGACAGACAGACCAACTGTACCGGACGCCATAGTATCTCTATTTAATACAGAAAAAAATGCAGCAAAAAAGATAATTAAGTTTCCAACCATTTCCAAACGTACTGCCAGCCACCTTCAATAAAAACATTAATTAGATTTCGTGTAATCAATCATTTGTTTCCTTTATATTAATCTTATACTACTGTTTCTAAGAAAATTTATACCTATTTGCAATTATACTAGGATAATAGCACACTTGATTAAAATCCACTTTACTTTCGGATTCACGAATAAATCGTTCTTGTACACCAAATGCTCTGATCATCTGTGCCCCTAATAAACACATAATTAATATTAACCATGTATCATGGTAGAATCAGATTTAAAAAATTATTCATATTTTTACTAATTTCTCTATACGCATATACATATATTTAAGTTATAAAAATTATTAATGCAGCAGAGGAGAGTTTATTCACATACCAGATACTGACTCACTAAAATGCGAGTATATAGGAGATCTTGAAACGGATTCTAAACGTTTCAGTTGTCGGGAACTTGCAACATATAGTCGTTGAATAAAGTAATAAAGTACACCTATTGGTATTATAACTGCTATAAATATTGGTGTGCTAAAACTTATAACCACTAGAGTGGCTATAACCTGTAATATGAATGCGTTACTTAGAAAAAGGAGAATAGATTTCAAGAATTATTCTTTCGCTATACATGTATAATACAGAAATGAATGAAATATAACCATTTTACAGAACATGAAAAACACAGGACAAAAAAGTAAATTTGTATGTACATAAAAAATACCCATAAGTTCATGTATGCAATCGTAAAATTAATAAAATAGCTGTGTGACAAAAGAATTCAGAAACTAATAATAATCATGCAAATTATAAGATGAAACACCCATGTCTACTTTTCCAAACACCAATATGCAACTGAATGCAAATAATATATTTTAATTTACCCATGATTATTAAATAGTGTCTCAAACAAATGTATACAATATCTATACCAGTACATAATTGTACTATTAAAATATTAATAGTTGCACACTTGCACAATCATTTTCTACCATTTATTACAGAAACACATTTGCCATATTCACCACTTTTAACACACTAAACTGCAATTATAATTTATTGGAACGGACACAATTATACTCAATTATAGCTTCTATAACAACATACTTTATGCACGCTATCCATTTATAATCAACTATACATCATCGTAGAAGAATGTAATTTTAGTGCTCGAAGTTTCACCAAAAAAGCTATAATCGAAGTACAAAAACCATAACAATTTGTTTTTTCTAAGATGTCGTTAAATAAACGAATGCCCATGATGTATTTCAATGAAAATTACATCAGCATAAAACCAATACAAACCCTTTGATGAAATGGAAGAATGCAAAGGTAGATCCAATGAATTATGACTAAAGGAATCACAGGAAGGAAATAATAAGAATCAATTGTCTTAATCTGATTCAGGCATTTCCAAAAATTACCTCAAACAAGCAATAGATGCTATCAGAAATTTGTTGAGGAAGAGATGTATCCAGGACGTCGACGTCTTTAGCAAACCTGGAGATAATACGACCAGTAGGAGTCGTATCAAAGAAGGTCAATGGAGCACGCATCACAGCACGCAGCATCACTAT